ATACACAGAGGTGATACATAGATGTATATCGTTCAGCAGGTTTCGAGTTTCTATTCGTTGGACCACTCGGAAACTACGAAGTAGTAGGTAGGGTCTGCGTTGAACAGCCGATATAAACTTGCTACTTCTCGCGATAAACGCAACAACCACGGACGTTACCGTCGTTTCAACTTTTTATCGGTTTGGAAAGATACTTTGTACCTTCCTAGATTTCGAGAAACTAACTAAGAAAAGATAGAGGGTGGAAAAGGGAAGGGAAGGGAAGGTAGGGAAAAGTAAAGTCTAAACGCAATATTATCTCGATTTTTCCTTTTTATATATATATATATCTTGTTTCTGCGATCTTTTTAAAACGTACGATGTTTAAATAAATCTAACGAAGGAAAAACAACCCTTAAAGGTATTAGAAGAAAAAAAAACGTAATACGAAACAGGTGGGTGTGTGAGTGGGATAGAAAAAAAACGGTTTTACTTATGTTGGAGATATCAAAGATTTAAAAAGAAATTCTTTTTTATTATTTTCATTTTTCTACCACCGTTTTCTCTTCTATCTACTCGTTCGTTCGTTCGTTCGTTCGCTCCCGAAGATTTTAATGATTGTATAAATTCTATGCGCAAATTTTAACTTGCTAAGAACAAACTGCGATTTAAAATGAAATAAAAAAATAGGAGAGAAAAGAAGAAAGAAAGAGAAAGAAAGATTAAAAAAAGATTTAAAAAAAAAAAGCACACACACACAAATACTTAGGTCGATTTATCGAAGGGCCAAACCCTTTGCGCGATATTTTGGGTACCGAGTAAGATTCGTGAGTCAAGGTAAGGTGTAAACTCAAGAGGCAGAACATTTTCGAACGTGAGTATACAGATTGGATGTAAGAGAACAGAGAGGAGTGGGTATAACGAGGAAGGTCGTTGAATCAAGTTCCACTTCTTGAACTCTCTCCTTCTTTCTCTCTCTCTCTCTTTATCTTTCTTTTCCTCTTTCTCTTCGAAGATGGTTGCTTGGTGAACTTAGGTAGAAGGAAAACACATAGAAAAGGGATAGGTGGTGGATGACGTTAAAGTGTGTAGTAGTGGTGGTGATGATGATGGTGGTGGTAGTAATATCATAGTAGTAGTAATAGTAGTAGTAGTAGTACGCCGTTCGCGAATAAGAAAAAACAGAAGGAAAAGGAGGAGAATCCTCTTGATGGTACTTGCACCAACCCAGTATGTACCGCGGCTTCGGGCTGTGTCTTCAAAAGTACTGAACTAGCCTCTCTCTATCTATATGTATGAGCTAGAACGTGTAACAATAAGACGCTAAGAAAAAAGTCCACGTACATAGGACAAATACATACATACATATATACGTATACTTAAAGAAAGAGATAGACAAACGCAAAAGATAGTTGGCTCGAGTTGGCTAAACTTTGGCCGACGTAGTTTTCCTTTAACCTATCTCTCTCTCTCTCTCTCTCTCTCTCTCTCTCTTTCTCTTTGTTTTTACTTTATTTCTCTCTTTTTCTCGACTTTTTTTCCCCCTTTTACTTACTTTACGTTAGTCCTTCTCTCTCATTCTCACGCTTGCTTTCCTATTTCTTTCTCCAATTCCCCCCACCCCACCCCCTGACTATTTTCTTGCAGCTAAAGTATTTTTTAGTACTACCTTATCAACGTTTAGTCCTTTGAAAGGACTAAACCACAAATGGCAGAACCCTACGGTTGCATTTCCTTATTTACCATCTCTTTCTCTAACTGACTGACTTACTCTGACTGTCTCATTTTCTCATTCATTCATTCATTCATTCATTCATTCATTCATTCACTCACTTATGCTTAAGTTTTGCGTGCGCGAGTAAGCTTCTTCTTCTCCTACACCAATACCATCACCATCACCATCACCACCTTACACCATCACCACCACCACCACCACCACCAAAGTCTTTCTTACGAGCTCGGCAAACTCGTTAGCGCTCGCTCACTTAGCGAACTCGTTAAAGCTGCCTAAGTAGTGAATTAAGCATATATCTTTCTCTTGTCTCTTCTTCTTCTTCTTCTTCTTCTTCTTCTTTCGCTTCTAGTGTTTGCGCGTTTAGTTTTGCTTCCTCCTACTCCTACTCCTCCTCCTGGTACTTTGCTTTTTCCTCCTTTCCACCTTCTCTACCTCTTCCTATTGCTTTTTCTTATTCGTTCACGACTTTTACTTCTTACCTTTCGAAAACTTTCGGATTTCCTTTATCGAAACTTCTTCGTTTTCTTCTTCTTCTTCTTCTTCTTCTACGAGGATAATTTTACTTTCGGATATTCTCGTGTTTTCTTATTACCCCCACTCCCCTATCTTCTATATCACGCGTTTAAATGTTTATTTAAATTTAATTATCAATATTCTTGTCCAGAAATAAATATTATTAATATAAATCTTAAAGGGAATTTTGGACGGTTGTTAAATCTTATGAACAATTTATTTTGAACCAGTTGTACGTTTCATTCCTTACTGGGGATTTCATCAGCAACTCGATCTTTACAGTTCACGTGTCAATATACATATTATATACATATGACTCTGAAAGAAAGATAATATGTATGTATATTGACACGTGAACTGTAAAGATCGAGTTGCTGATGAAGTCCCCAGTAAGGGATGAAACGTACAACTGGTTCAAAATAAATTGTTGTTCAATCAAATAGATTGTTCATCTAATTTAAACCTGTCCAAAAAAAACATCCCTAAGAATTAAACCTAGTAATAATATTAGGAAAAATTTTGGATAAGAAAAAAATTTATTATATTAACATTGTTCATAAGATTTAACAACCGTCCAAAATTCCCTTTGAGACTTATATTAATAATGTTTATTTAAATGTTTATCAATTTATCTCGCGAAATTCTCGCGAATCGAATATTACCCGATCGAATTATTATTCGTATTTGTATGAGATAAAAAAAAAAAAAGAAAAATAATATAATGTATATAATATTATAAATATATATGTATAAATCTCTCGCACACACGCACATCCATCCGAATTTTATACATGCTAACACTTTTATTATTATCCCGATATACATTCCTTTTTTTTTTGCACACTCATAAACGTTTCTCTCTGATATCGTATTCGTTCAACCTTTTAATGAACATAAAATCGAGCGTATAATGATAAAGAGAGAGAGAGAAAGAGAGAGAGTGAGTGAGTGAGTGAACTCGAAAACAGATTGAATTTTTCATCGGTCCAACGAGGCGTGCGTGCATATCGAAATGTTGACGCACATATCACTCCCTTTTCCACGATATATTCATCGATGCGATATTTATGTTTATCATTTATATTAAATCGTTATTAATTGATGACGACGATTACGATGACGATGACGAAGACATACGTACATACTAACACGTTTTATTATTATTCATTTATTTTCTCTTTTATAATCTCGCGTTATCCTACGAATTTTCGTATTAATTTTCGTTTAGAAATATACGCTTGTACTGAAAACACGTTTCGATCAGATCGCGTTAAACGTACGCGAAGATCAAAGCTGATTTTTATTTTCCCCCTTTTTCTTTTTTTTAATCGTTTTCATCAATTTTTCCTCCCCCAAGCCCCATAATCCCCTTTCCCATCTTTGGTTTCTTCATTCTCATATCATATAAACTGTACACGCAATACGTTTTTATTCAAAACGTTATTTAACATAGAAAATATATATCTAACGGGTTTATATTTTAAGAAGAAAAATCAATATAAATATAAAATGGGTTGGAATATATATATATATATAATATAATATAATCTAGTACGATCCGTTCATCGATAAACTTATGGTCTCGCTTACGTAATATTACGTACTTTGCTCGTTTAACGCGTTAACGTATTCCGTTTCGTAGCAAACCGTATCCGGTCGAGTCGCTTTCATTACCGGTAGAGAACGTTTATATCTACGTTCTCCACCGGGGGAAGTTGGAAGTTAGACCAATTACAACGAGAGATGCCTTAAGGCCTTTATCTCGTTTCATCTTGGTGGTCTTTGATGCTCGAAATGTCTTCCCTTCCCTTCCCATCCCTTTCCCTTTCCCTTCACCGTCTTTCGAGTTTCCACTCATCTTCAATATTTACCACCCACTCTAGAGGTATAAAAAATAAAAAAAAAAAAAAAAAAAAGAAATATTTTAATACGCGAACGCGAGAAGACAAATTGTAATTTAATGTAATAGAAATCTATCTTTTTATTCAATATGCAATTGAGAGAGGATTCCCCTTTTTTTTTGTTTTTTAAATTAAATTCTTTCTCTATTGACAATGTAATCTCAATCAAGAGAAAGAAAGAGAGAGAGAGAGAGAGAGAAAAAAAAAATGAATTGAGTGCAAACAAACAAAAAAAATACGTAGGACCGAAACAATAGAAAAATTCTCCATGACATTTCGAATGGAAAAAAAAACAACAACAACGACGAAAGTAACAAAACGAAAAATGGGAAAAGGTAACAAAAATTGTCGAAACGTTTCGGCAAACGATTTATCTAAAACTCCATTCAAAATCTTTCGTGAATTCTGGGTAAACCGAGATACTCCGTGGAGGTAACAAGTTACGTGACTAGTCAAATATATCTCTATCTTATCGGTGATAGAGAATTCAAAGAGAGAGAAAAGAAAAGAAATAAAAAGGGAATACAAAAAAATGGGGCTGATAGATTCGATCGATGTTAAGAAAGGGTAGGAAAACGAATAAGAAGAAGGAGACAAACAAAACAAAATAAAAAATAAAATAACATAATAAAATATGAGAATGAGGGGTTAGTTTGATAGTGATAGATAGATCGGAGAATCCCAGGGTGGGGGGAGGGGGGGGAAAGATATTGGTATTAAAATAAGAAGAAACAAAGGAAAGAAGAGAGGGTGGGACGTTTGTTCGTTGATGGTTGTGGTGGTGGTCGTATTGGTGGTGGTATTGGTGGTGGTGGTGTTTGGGAAGAGTTGAAAATAGAAGTTGACAGTAACGTTTTCTTACGTGCGCGCAGGTGGAAGCACTTTCGAGAAGCAAGAGAGCTACAACGGTTCCCTACTGCAATTCCATCGCGTCGAGAGACGACAAATGGGGGTGTATCTCTGCATCGCCAGCAACGACGTGCCGCCGGCCGTTAGCAAGCGAGTGACGCTCGCCGTGAATTGTAAGTTCGCCTTCAAACACCACCCTTCTTCCTCCTTCCTCTTTGCCAGCCCCTTTTCTAACCTTTTCCTCTCTTATTTTTCCTATTTTACTTCTGTACCTTTCCCTTATTTTCTTATTTCTGATTTCCGATCGTGACAAACCACCCCGTTCTACCACCCCACACCCTACTCTCTTTCTTTTTATTTTTCTTTTTATTTTCTACCGCGAAAATACCCTTTTTCAAGAAACCAATGTTGTATACCCCTACACCTTTGACTCTTTTGTAACTACTTACATATCTACAAGAACTACGAATTGTCCTCCTACAATCCTTCTTACTTTACTGTTACTTTATATACGTGTGTGTATGTGTTCGAATTTCCGTCAGGGTGTCCCCCCTTTTTGCGTTTGTCCTCTATATTTGTGTCTGAGTTTGCGTCTCTGTGTGTATGTGCATGTGTGTGTGATGTAACGACCTGGCACTGCGGACTACAACGCGTCGAAAGGTTGAAGACGCTGACCGTCGACTTCGACCAAACTCAATTCCACCCACCCTCTAAACCACCCCATGCCCCTTCCTTTTCTTTCATCCCACTCCTTACCCCTTTATCCTGCGATCTCTTTATCGATCACTTCAGATTCTTTCCTTCTTTTCCATTCTTTTCTTTTCTTTTCTTTTCTTATCATTTTCCTTCTTTTTTTTTTCTTTCTTTCTCTCTCTAATGCCGTCTTTGAAATTTCTCTCTCTCTCTCTCTCTTTCTATCTCTGTCTCTGTCTTTCTTCATCGTACTTTCCCGTGAAACTTTGATGTTGAATTAATCCCATCGTATGCGGGCTCCCGCTGTTCGGTACAAAGCTCAGCTATTAATTACGCTATTGTCATTATCATAATCGCGATACTTCCGGTTCATTGTTCCGATCACAAAGAGATGTAACGAGACTTTGTCGCGCGTACCAAAGTTTCCTTAACTACAGGGTAATATTGTTGCTGATAATACACTACGTGTAGGTGCTTTAACGAAGTAATATATATATATATATATATATATAAGAAAATGTTATACGTATCTTTTATATATCTTATTCCTTTTTCTACTTTTTATCTTATTAACGAAGAAAATAGTGTAATATTTGTTAAGGTAAAAGAATGAAAAATAATAAAAAGGAAATATCAATTTTCGTTTGTTTTTCTTCTGATTTAAATTGTACAATATATTTTTAAGTAAGAGAAAAATAACAAGAACAATTTGTACTTTTATGATTTATCATCGTAAAAGAAAGAAACGTTTATACTATTTCGTGCAAATTTCTTCATGATTATAATAAAGTAATTTAATTTGAAATATATGATTTATTTTACAGAAAGATGTGTTAAATGTCATTGGATATAAGATTAATTTTTCAAATGTAAAATAAATATAATTTATGAAAATTTTGTGAGATTATATTTGTCAGAAGTAATATTATATACTTTCTTGAATTTTCATTTATATACTCGGTTATATTATCGATTTTCTCGCATTGCTTTGCCCAATGAAGAAAAATTATTTTCATACTATCTTTTGTGTGAATAATAACATTGTTGACGTATAATAAAACGAAATAAACTTCGTAGAGATGGAGAATACTTTTTAAAGATTTACTAATTATCCAAATTTTCTATAATATATCGTTGAAATTTATTCTACTTATTATTTTTGTCATAATTTGTCATTTTAACTTTAAACATAATTATTTATACAAATAATAAGAGAGTAAACATATTATATAATTTCGTAAAATATATAACATAATACTTTGTCCAAGATGAATATTCTCGTGAGTTCGTTAAATTTGATAGAGAAACCGATTTTCGAAGGGTTTTAAAACACAATGACGACAACGACAACGAAGACAAGGGAAGGTAAATCGATTGCATCGGTGAGTCGCTTCAATGCGGACTTCGAAACGACTGTGTTCCGAGAATATAATTCCTCTTTCTCTTTCCCTTTTTATTTTTATATATCTTTCTCATTTTCCTTATCCGTCTCCCGAACGTTTCTCTTACGCGTATACATTTCTCTCTATATATTATTATTATTATTTTCCTTTTACCTGTGTAACACGGTGTGTCCTACGTTTCTAAAGTCGCTTTTGTTTCCTATTAAGATATTGCGAGGAGAAATAGCAACGTGCGTAATTAAATTGGTTGCCTCGAGTATGATTAGAAGAAAATATAGAATACCTTTCTATCCCCACCCTTCATTCAACCACCCATTCAACCACCCAACTTCCCTTACTCACTCACTCACTCACTCTTTCTCTCTATCTATCTTTGTCTTTCTGTCTCTTTCTCTTTCTCTTTCTCTTTCTCTCTATTCCTTTACCTTTATCTCTTTGATATTACTAGTGAATTAAACATTGAATTGAAGTGCACTCCTCCTATTGCAGCACCGAAATAAGCTACGACGACGTTACTTAGTTTATGGAAATACAAACGAACATCTTCAAATTTCACATATACCATAACCTGATAGTACACTTTTGATATCTTACGTGATTAATTCAAACCTCGACTAGTCTGTGCCATTTCAACGAAACTCGAGATCGTAATTCTAAATATTTTCCCTTTTCACTAAAGTCATTCCAATATTAAATATAATCTAATTAAATCGTGGGGAGAAGGAAGAAGAAGTATATTCTTATCGCGAGAAATTCATTTGTCATAGTAATTAAATGTTTAATTTGTTTTTTTCCTTTTTTTTTTTTTAAATGGAAACCCAATTCCTAATAATTAAAATATATTTTAAATAATTGTTCATTGTTCTTGTAATATAATGTTTTCTTTTTAATTCTTATACAAACATTTTATTGCAAATGAGTATTTTATCGAAAAAGAAGTATACTTTGACGTATTATAACTAATAAGAATATAAAATGCAAACAAGAAGGTCTCAGTCAAGTATTACTTATAAAAATAATTATTGTATTTTCTTTTACATATATATATATAAAATCACACACACACACATATTTATATATAAATGATATTCTTTTAAGAATAAAATGTGTTTCTCTGCCATCAAATAAAATTGATATAAATTTGAAAGAAAAAAAAAATATCAATTGTTAACTATTTATAGTTGACACAAGTTATACGAATATACCTGTGAATTAATTTTCACCTGATATACACGTATATACGTATAAAGAAAATTTGATAATCTTTTAAACGTATTCGTTGACACGCTCGATTACCAATGATTTCTATTTGTCAGAAATGTTTTTTAGTCCCTCCTTTCCCCCTCGAAATCAATCGTCCGGGAGAGATATATTTTTCATTCGACAACAACAACAATAAAATCATAAAATAAAACAATACCTACCTACTGCCTAGATAAAAATTTCGTTTGGCCACGTACGCGAACGAGTGAACAAACGAATAAACGAACGAGTGAACAAACGAGCGAACGACAAAACGTGTTTCACCTCGAATAATATTCACGTTAGATTAAAAACATCTATATGTTAACGTCATAGCTGGAAATCTGCCATTGCTTGTAATTCCTCGGCATTCTTATCAAGATCCGTTTGATAAAAGTATACAAAATATTTGCCGAAAGTTTTTAAAGAAATGACAAAGTAGGAAAAATTTGCAGCATCGCATTCTTTGCCATTTTATGAACCTTTTCAGATTGATTTATAACTCGATATGGTATTCTATGCGTAGACAAAAGTGTGTACTTTAATTTAATATTAGTTACATTAAAATCTATTCACTTTTAGTATAAAAAATATTAACCAAAATTTTTCAAAGAAATTGCAAAGATGCACAATTTACAGCATTGCATTCTCTGACATTTTCTGAACT